AGTAAAAGCCGCATCAGATGAAGACGTATTTACTTTAAACTGTCTACAGGGGAAACAAAAGGCTGCGTCTGCTTTTAACGAATATTCAAGCCATGGTCTGTTGTTGTACCATGCAGTGGCAAAACTGCGCTTCTTTGCTGAAAACAATCAGTTTCACCTGGTTGGGTTTATTAACCCCAAGATCATCTGGGCTGTTGTTCTTTGAGCGGTTGCTGGCCCCATAGTACCTGTTGATGTGCTGCAAGGTAGCGTCTGTATGGAGGCTCCGGCACGGAGGAGGAGGAGGAGGAGGTGCTGGCGGGTGTGGTGCAGGGTGTGGCAACGCAGGTGGTGATGGTAGGGGCACAAGGAGCTGTGCCTTGGAGGACAGCGTTGGTGGCGGCCGCCTTGATGATGAGTCAAGGATTGGGCTCGCTAACTCAGCCGAGGGGTTTGCCGAGGTCAAGCTTGTGACATTAAGGCGTGCTGCTGCAACGGCAGGTGCAGGGTCGCCAGCAGCACAATCGGCTGCAGTTCTTTCATCGCTATTTCGTTTTAATAAATCCTTAGACCTTTTAAGCCAATTTCTGATATCCATTTTGTAATTCAAGCAGAAATGTCTACAGAATGCACAATAAACAAATCCAGAATAGGCGGCAGATTGTGACGCTGTGATTGGTCTAAATGTGGACGAATCACAAATCACAACAGACACATGAATTTATTTGACATAGCCTGCGATTTTTTTTTTAAGTTACTATCTGACATCACATACATCGTAGCATAAAAGTTCACCGTTTATTTATCATTTACATTTTTTTTCTTTTTTATAAATAATAAAAAACGTGTTTATTAGGAGAGGGCAGGAATGTCAAATGGGCGCCGGGCATGTCTTTCCTGCAGTGTGTTGGATAGGTTTTTGTGAATGTTAATGGTCTGCAAAGGCTAATATCTCACATTGTACGTGATAGGCTAAGGGGCGGGACATCTCTAAGCGGTTGACAAATCACAACAGAGCCGGCACCTAACCAATCAGAGCAGACTGGGCTCTGGTTTCAGACAGAGGGTGAAAAGAGGTGCTGCAGCACAGGCAGTATGAGAACAATAAAGAGCGTTTTGAACATTAAAGCATGGAGACATGTTTAGACATGCCAAAGACCCGAAGGAAAATCAAAAAATGTAAATAGAAAACTTGATTTTTTTGGAAAAATCTTAATTTTGTTGTGCGACTGCAAAAGTCGGACGCGCCTTGTACAACATTTCGAAAGACGACAGGACTGAAGTTACCGTCTGATTGCTAGTTATTGTGCGGTCTGGAGAATAATATTTGATGTGTGTGTGATCCAACCCGTCGGCTTTACGAATTAGTGTACGTTGAGTAAGTGTGTTGTGTAGTCCCTCGGTCAGTTCGGGGATTCGATGATGAATGGTGGTCGGTTGGCGGTATTATTAGTTGCTACGTAGCACCAGTCGTACTTGGTTGGTGGTGCATGGGTGGGTGGTCTGGGGGGGGGGTGGGTAGGATCAATGATGCGGGTAGTTTAAGGGCAGCGTACCCCACCTCGCATGATTAGAGAATCGTAGTTAGTCCTGTCGTTTAGCAGGTAAGAGGTGTCGACGGTCGTGTCGTTCGAGGCCTCCGTACACTGCCTCCGTGTGCGTGACGAAGAAAAGTCGGTCTAACTCCTGTCGATATGCGTGGAGGGTATGTGAGACATGATGAGGCCAAGTGCGGTGATGAATATATGTTCCACAATGAGATATGTTGGGGATGTTAGGTCTGTAAGGACTTCTAGCGTCGTGAGTTAGTATGTGAGTTCAAATTTCCCAATTTAACACGTAAGTGATACGTTGGCCGTGCCTGCTCAGACCGTTTGAAGTGTTGGAAATTGAGAATAAAGAGCAATTGTCGATTTCATTACCGCCAAAGTGACATGGGCGTCGACGGGAGGCGTCTCTGCGAACAGGGAGAGCGCGTGGTCGTCAGTCGTCTGAGTCCGTCAGTCAGTTCGTACATCAGTTCGTAAGGTCTACGTCGTAAGCAGGAGACCGTTCGCTAACGGATTACTGAATGCAGGGAGCCTTAGGTCGCTATGCGAGCGTGAGGGAGTAGGGAGGTGAGTGTGTGTGGTGACAATCTTACTTAGATGAGGAGGTGAGGTGTGCTAGCTTAGGTTTCTCGACCCTATATAGTTGCCCCACGGAAAGGTGTGGAGATAATCCAAGGTGGTATTTACTAGTGGGAAGAGAAAACGTGGGGAAAAAGCGAAATTAAATATGTGTGTGAGATTTATTAGGAGAAGAGTGTGTGTTCTCCGTACGTGCAGTCAGGGTTTACTGGATGACTTCATGCTAGTGGGCACATTGGGAGTTCTATAATGATAGTCACCGAAGAGAGAAGATCTGGACCTGATAGTTCGACCATAGCTACCGTTACTCCGTTACGTTACATGTAGATGTGGATTACGTTCACTTTGCAAAACTTAGCGCAAAACCTATCTCCTATACAATAAGCGGACTGTGTGGCTGACACTTAAATAACTACACGTACGAGAAAGTCACGGTTTGTTTCTTGGGGGGTGCTTTTCATTTCTGACGGAACGGTGTTTCCAAATTCGTGTGTTCCATTTACGTAAGTCGTAAACGATATGACATTAGTTTACTACTTGACGTTCTAGTGTTAAATTTTTTTTTTTATTCCTACAACAAAGAAGAATTGGAGTGTCCATTGAGCATGACGGGACACCGTTCGTCGGAATATTTCGACGTATTTTCTAAACTGTGATGGAGGGGTGTAGTGTTCGAGAAACTCGTCTGAGAACGTTGGAGGCAGCATGGAACCCCCCAGGGGGGGTTTTATAGGTGAGGCAAGGCGGTTGCTGTCTCTTGTGTTTCCGGTGTGTTGTACTGTTATTATTAGTATGAGTCCTCTATTGAAACTGGCTTGTGACTCTGAAATAGTTGAGGGAGTACCGGTGGAGGGGAGCAAAGTGTAGATTCAGTGAGGCAACAGGGGAG